ACAATATGTGTAATAATTGTTTAATGAGAAACTAATTTGCTCTGTAAGCCTTCATCTAAAGCACAATGAAAAAAAAAAAGATTACAGCCTTGGAAACTCTATGGGGCAGTTCTACTTTGTCCTACAGGGTTGCTATGAGTTGGAATCAACTTGATGACAACAGGTTTCAGGTTTTTAACATAGATCAGGGGCTTACTGTGCACTGGATACTGTGCTAAGTACTTTCATATTCCTTTTAATCCTCACCTAACACTGTGAAGTCGGTTCTATTACTATCCTATTTTACAGATGAGAAAATATGCATCTGCCCATGATCAAGTCATAGAGCCTCCGTTGCAGGGCGGAGGTCACTCAGCTTGGCCCTCCTGTGAACTCCTCCCAGGTCTGCACAGCAAAGGTGGCAGCGAGCCTTAGCAGCAGCAGCAACAGCAGCACAGCAGCCCTGTTCCTTTATTAATGGGTGTAGCCCAGTGCCAGTGCCATGCCTAACACACATAGGATACTTAATACATATCTACTGAGTGAAGGAAGAAACAATAACACTTGACCACAAAAGAAATGCTCACTGAAGGCCCCAGAGCACAGGAGAGAGAGCTGAGCAGGTGCTTTCCAGGACCGAGTTCTAGTTTTTCCCTATCCTGCTCTGGGCCCCAGTTTCCACGGTAACCGGTTGCCGTCCAGTCGATTCCACCTCATCGTGTCAGAGTAGAACTGTGCTCCACAGGGTTTTCAATGCATGATCTTTCCGAAGTCACTCAACAGACCTTTCTTCCGAGGTGCTTCCAATGGACTTAAACCTCTAACCTTTCAGTTAGCAGCCAAGCATGTAACCATTTGTACCATCCAGGGACTCCATCAGTTCCCCAAGCCTGATAATATGATTCCACTTTAAATGCAAATTGAGTTTTGGTTCCTTTACTCATCAGAGGCTCACTGGTTCATGGCTGACCAGGGTGAAGCACTGTGACAGACACAAAGACAAACGGATAAAGTCACTGTCCCCAAGACAGACATGAGAACAAACTGCATCTGAAGCTGGAACAAAATGAGGCTTCAAGGAGGAGGTGATGTTTGGTCTGGACAGAGGAGGTGGGAAGCGCAAGGTCAGACTGAGTCTCCAGCAGGAGAAAGGTCCCAGATATGAAAGCTTATGGTGAGAATGGAAACGGAGAGAAGGCAGATGGAGAGCATGGAGGGGTCTCCCGGGACATTGGATGATGTAGTTTGGGTGCAGATGGAAAGATCTGAAATGCATGATTAATAAATGTGTATTTTAACTTTGCAAACATTACGTTGAGTGAAATAAGTCAGTGGCAAAAGGACAAATATTGAATGACCAATTCACATGAAATATCTGGAATAGGCAAGTGTACGGAGACAAAAGTTTATTAGTGGTTACCAGGGGCAGGTGGGTGGGAGGCGAGAAGGAGGGCTCAGGGCTTGGGGCACTGAACTTCTGTTAAGGGTGATAGAAAAACTAGGAAACTGGTAGTGGTGACAGTTGAATGACATGATGAACATAATTAATGTCACTGGATTCCACATCTGAAGAATGTTGGCATGGCAAATGTTTTGTTACATATATATTTACCACAATTAATAAAAAAGAAAAGAAATATAGATTTTGCCAACAGTAGGGAGCCATTGATGATTTTGAGCAAGGGGGTGATGCAATCAGGACAGTAGCTTAGGAGGAATGCCCTGACCGCATGATGAAAATTAGGTTGGAAAGGAGGGAAATAGATCAGAAGCAAGGAGACCAGTTAGGAGGCAATTATATATTTGAAATAAGCATTTTAAAATGTAAAAAAGGCTAGAACCTTCAGTTCAATGATTCTTCTCTGGTTTGCACTCCTGATGCAAAGCATAGCGTCATGTGTTAAAAAAAATACACAAGTGTGTATAAACCGAACCAGTTACTATGGAGTCTGTTCAGACTCATGGCGACCCCATGTGTGTCGGAGTAGAACTTGCTCCATAGGGTTTTCAATGGCTGATTTTTCAGAAGTAGATCATTAGGACTTTGTTTCAGAGGAGCCTCTGTGTGGACTCCATCCTCCAAACTTTCTGTTAGCAGCCAAGGGTATTAACCCTTAGCACCACCAGGGGACTCCTTGTGTATGAACCACCACCACCACCCCTTGCCTTCGTTGACTCTGACTCATAGTGACCCTGTACGACAGGGTAGAACCGCCCCACAGGGTTTCCATGGAGCTCCTGGTGGATTCAAACGGCCCACCTTTAAGTTAGCAGCCAAGCTCTTAACCACTGCGCCACCAGGGCTCTTGTGTATGAATACACATAGAAAAAAGTCTGCTTCTTTGGATGTAGGATGATAGGTGGTATTTATTGCCTTCTTCGCAATTTTTCTGTGTCATTTAAATTCTTTCAAGTGAGCAGGTATTATGACTTTTTTATTCAGAAAGAAAGTTTATTTTTTTATTTTTTAAAAATAAAGCATTTCCTTTTCCATGGAACTCAAAAGGACAGCACCTACTTAAGTCCCAGGCCAGCATGCTGTGATTGTGGTGTAAACGGACTCATCACCCAGGCAACCCAAAGGCAGTGGACACTGTGTTCTCCAAGTCTGGCCTAAGAGAAGCCCCTTGAATGGGGCTTCTGTGGAATTAGCCTCAGAAGCCAGGCTGAATCTGAGAAAAAACGATGCCATGGAAGTTGGTTGGGCCTTTCCTCTCCCTCTTAGATACGCAAAAACCTTATACCACTTATCATTCTCCCTCCCCGCTCCCCCCGCCCATACTAGCGGTATATCATGTATTTAAAGTGCTTTATTACAATAACATAAATACACTCCTGACCTCCTGCAGCAAAACTGACATTAAAAGAAAATTAAAGAGTCATCCCTCTGGTTCTCTTCTCTGAAGCCCAGTCCACTCACTTATCCATTCTGTCATTAAAACACTATGTGGAATGTCCACTTTGTCCAGGTATGGTGAGGCCAGGGGACGCAAAGATGGGCACATCTTTGCTGAAGCCACAGGGCCACAGTGAAGTCAGGCAAGGGCTCAGACAACGATGACACAGTGGGCATGGACCATGTTAGGGGAATTCATAGGGGGCTGGGAAGCAGGGGAAAGAAACAACTAGGGGTCTGGTGGCGAGGTTACAGAAGGGTTCAGCGAGGAGGTAATGCTTAAAGTGGATCTTCAAGTCAGCTAAGTGGATGGCAGAGCAGGAAGGGAAACCAGTGCAAAGGGACCAGCATAGTCAAAGACCCTCCTGCCCCCAGGAGTGAGAAGGCAGGGCACATCTGTGGTACAGTAAGCAACTGGGTTTGACGATGCCCAGCCAGGCATGGCTTCTCTAAGAACCTGGCACCACTCATACAAGACACAGCAGTGGCTGCACCAAATAAGCATCCCACCACATGCCAGGTCTTCTTGGATTTCATTTCTCTGCAGGCTCACTTCCCACGGTCTGTTTCCTTTACCCTTCTGAGCTTGACCTAGTTCCCAAGCGCGCCCCCTCTTTCCTGTGTAACCTAATTTGCTGTGTACACTTACACCAAAAAACTCAATAAAATATTTTTTTTTTTTAAATCACCATCTAGAGATAATTCCTCTGCCTTTTGGTTTATTTTCTTTCCTTTCATTCATGTACAATATACGTGCAACATGCAAACTCATACTCATAATATCATTTACTAAATTTATATTATATTTTGGACAATTGATCATATGATAAAGTTTTATATCCCATGTCTTGCACTTATTGTTGACATTTCTAACGTCATTAAATGTTCTTTGCAAACATGATTTACTTTTAATTTATGTACAGTGAAACTTACTCTTTTGGTGTACAGGTCTGTGAGTTTTGACAAATCATAGATTCATGTAGCTACCACCACCATCAAGATACAGAGTAGTTTCTTCACCCCCAAGAATTCCCTCACACTGACCCTTTGTAGTTACCCCTCCTCCTAGCCCTAACCCCTGGCAACCCCAGATCTGTTCTCCATTCCTATAGCTTTGCCTTTTTCAGAACGTCATATCAATGGAATCACAGAATATGTAGCCATTTGAGACTGGCTTCTTTCACTTAGCATAATGCATTTGAAATTAACCATGCTGTGTGTGTATCAACAGCTGGTTAGTTTTTACTGCTGATTAGTATACCACTGTATAGATGTACCATGGTTTGTTTATCCCTTCACCAGATGAAGGACATACGGTTTATAAACATGATTTTTACTAGTTGAATGATATTCCATCCTATAGATGTACCAAACCATATGTAAACAGGTTCCTATTATGGGACATTTTGTTTTTTCACCCATTATAAATACCCATTAAACAAACGTCTTTGTACATAAATCTTTGCATACCAAATATATATATATAAAGCTGTTGCTGTCAAGTCAATTCCAACTCATGGCAACCCTACAGGACAAAGTAGAACTGCCCCGTAGGGTTTCCAAGGAGTGACTGGTGGATTTGAACTGCTGACCTTTTGGTTAGTAGCCAAGCTCTTTAACCACTGCTCCTCCAGGGCTCCATATATATAAATTTGCATAGTGCACACATATCTTAAGCTATCAGTAAGTATGCAGTGTGCTTTTTCTAGGAGTATGAAAAAATATAAAGTACAATTCTATTCTAATTTTCTAAAGATGTTTGATTATACAACAAATAGTCTGGGTCTCACTGCTCTGTACCATGATAAAAACAGGAAAAGAATTCTGACTGAGGATGGAGAAACCCAGCGAGTATAGCCCCCGGACATCCTTTTAACTCAGTACTGAAGTCACTCCTGAGGTTTACCCTTCAGCCAAAGATTAGACAGGCCCATAAAACAAAATGAGACTAAAGGGGCACACCAGCCCAGGGCAAGGATGGAAAGGCAGGAGGGGACAGGAAAACTGATAACGGGGAACCCAAGATTGAGAAGGGGAGAATGCTGACATGTTTTGGGGTTGGCAACCAATGTCACAAAACAATATGTGTATTAATTGTTTAATGAGAAGCTAATTTGCTCCACAAACCTTCATCTAAAGCACAATAAAAACACAGGAAAAAAATAATTTGCTTGAATTCTACTGAAGCAGTTGTAACCTATTAAATAGAGCTAGACTACTCTCTTGTTTCTGTGATCCTGAGTCATATTAAAAAATATAACTACAGGTATCGTTTTGCCAGTAACAAGCTTCTTTAGACAATGAAAATCACTTGGCAGACTCAGAACAAGACTAATGATTTGCGCAAAGGCAGGTTGTAGGGCTGGGACTAGTTAAGACAACACAGCTGAGTTTTTAGCTATATTTGAGCATCTGAAGCCAAAGTCACTAAGAAGGGAATTATAAGGCTGGCACTTAGTTCTTCATAAAGAGATGGGATTTCTCTTTGAGTAGAAGCTGCTGCCCTGCAAATTAAAAAGGAAATAAAGAAACTGTCAGTACTGGTTATGAAACCTACTTTCAAAAGTATACATGCACATTGTAGAAAAATTCACATAGTACAGAAAGTTATGAAAAGGAAAAGTCTCTTTGTCACCTCATTCCCACTTTCCATACAGAATCGCCACTTATAGTTTGAATTATCCTTCTAGGAATGTAATACACACACACATTCATAGATCCATTTATCTAAGCACAAATGTAATCTGCTACTTGCTTTTTTCACCTAACATCTTACCTTGGACATATTTCCATATTGCTACATATGAAGCTAACTCATTCTTCCTCGTGGCTGGTGCTATTCTTATTGTATGGATGTACTTATTGTATGGATAAAGTTAGCCAGTCCCTATTGATGGACACTACATTATCACAGTTTAACTGGTGAAGAAAAACCTGTCCTGACATACAGACATCAAATCCTGATCACTGGATTTTTTGAAACACAAATTACTGAATTGTTGTAAACCAATTAAAAGATGTGTTTTTAAAAAAATCATGAAACAATCTAATGTTGGCTGGTCCTTAAAGGTTCCCGACTCCATCTGAATGCTGTTCCTCTCATCTCTCTTGCTAAAGGAATTCTCATCAGCCCGATTTGTACTAGGCCTCCCCTTGCTGGACATTTCTATAACTGCGCTTCTGATTCAGTTAATGCCACGGCTTGTCTCATTCGAAATTGATCCTTTTTTTGCTTTGAAATAATTACCTAATTAATATAATAACACTTTTATTTTTATTCTTTAAAAATTAAAATAACACAGAACTAAACACAGTAATAATGACAATCTCCCTTCATCTGTCTCCAGTTCCCACTCCCCTCCCTAGAAGTAACCATTGTTAGCAACTTAGAGTTCATCTTCTCAGACCTATTTCTGCCATTAACATCCAATATCATGCACAAAGAGAAACATAAAGTTTTATTTTCCTTTGCTATACACATCTGGGTTTATGTTCTATGCACTGGTTTGCCACTTACACTTCAGTTTCATAAGCTTTTCATGTCAGTGTGAGTTTTCTGCTTGACGGCAGCTTTTATGCACAGGAAAAAAAATTATTTGCAGTTACTTCGGTTTTAAAAATTAATTCTAGCTACTGAATTTATAAATTCAAAAGCCTAATTTTTCAACACACTTTTCTACTCAGTTTATGAATTGTATTGTTCTATTTTAAAACCTAGTAAACTCTGTCAGTTTTTAAGGGGGCTTCACACTTACTCAAATTCCCTTGAATGTTTTAAACTTCAGTTTTTTTAGTTTAGTTTATTTTAAAGTTTATTACTTTTTCTTTTTAGAATACTTCAAATACTTCTAAATAAGCAAAACCTTCCCAAATACTTCTAGTAAATCTAGTATAGTAAATGTATAAAATTTAACCTGAATTCTCTTAGATGTTCCAATACTAATTACAAACTTGGTAATATTCTCTTATAACTTTCAATATATTGGAATCACAGGGCTAATTCAACAGCTATTCTTTTATGCTGAATTCTCCTTGAGGGTCTTCCTGTCTTTTGATGACCCTCTACTTTATCAAGCATGATATCCCTCTCCAGGGACTGGTCCCTCCTGATAATACGTCCAAAATACGTGAGACAAAGTCTCACCATACTTACTGATATACTAAGTCCTTCTTTCAATAATGCGAGTATTATCTGTTTTCTCATATCCTCACCAATGTTGCAGATTATCGGTCAATTGGATTTTGGTCAATATTACAACCTATAGACATATATAAGGTTGTTTTTTACAAATTTTTTTCATTTAAATTTTATGTAAGTATTTTTCCATACTATTGTGTGATTATCCTATCATTGTTCTGGCTGATGATATAGAGCTTCTCCATCACTCCACAGATGTAGTCAGCTTGATTCCTGTGCATTCCATCTGGCAAAGTCCACGTGTATAGCTACCGTTTATGTTGTTGAAATAAGGTATTTTCAATGAAGTCATTAGTCTTGCAAAATTCTATCATGCGATCTCCAGCGTCGTTTCTATCGCAACTGCCGTTGCTTCTGTTTCCAACTTTCACATTCTAATCCCCAGTAATTATCAATGCATCATGACTGCATATTTGATCAATTTCAGACTACAGAAGTTGGTTAAAATATTCAGTTTCTTCGTCTTTTGCATTAGTAGTTGGTGTGAAAATTTGAATGATACTCTTATTAACTGGTCTTCCTTGCAGGTCTATGGATATTATCCTATCACTGACAGTGTTGTACTTCAGGACAGATCTTGAAATTTTATTTTTTATTTCATTTTATTGTTGTACTTTAAGTGAAAATTTATAATTTAAGTTAGTCTCTCCTACAAAACTTTACACATACATTGTTATGTGACCCTAATTGCTCTCCCTATACTGTGACAGCACACTCCTCCTTTCCACCTCTGATTTCCCATGTCCATTCAACCAGCTCCTGACCCTTTCTGCCTTCTCATCTCACCTCTGGACAGGAGCTGACTTTTTTTTTTTTTTAGTTGTACCTTAGGTGAAGGTTTACAGAACAAATAGTTTCTCATTACACAGTCAGTACACATATTATTTTACGATGTTGGTTAACAACCCCACAACATGTCAACACTCTCCCTTCTTGAACTTGGAGGACCTTTTTTTTTTTTTTGGTGAAAATATACAAAGCCAGAGATACACCATTTCAAAAATTTCTGCATGTACAGGAGTTCCAGCAAAATGGCGCTCTAGGCAGAAGCACCACACTGTCCCTCCACAGCAAAGATCTGAAAAACTAAGCCGAACAGAGAATACAACAATCCTGAAACCCTAAAACATCAAATGAAGAGATAAAGAACTCAGCCAAGCACCAAATGGAGTGAGAAAACTGACAGAGAA